ATCAATATCAATTCCAATATGTCAGCCCCTGCCATCACAGTTTTTAAGGCTAAAGTCACCTGAACAAAATTTGCTGAACCATCGTTGACACTTACGAATGTTCAAAACATTTCCATAAACTTCTTTGATATTCTTTGTGGCTACAGAGGCATTGTTTCCCTTCTTGTATTCAAACAACATTACATGCCAAATGTGTGTCTTGTGTGCTATAACTATAAGGGATTAGAGTATACTAAATTTTACACATTATATACGTGACATTTAGGTGGTTCGTTTAACTATTATACATGATGTACATTTTTTGGGGGGTGGTTAATGAAAGTGTTCCAAAATGCGATATTAATTTCTTGATGACGTAATAGTTACATACACTCTGCAACACAATAACAGATAATGAAGGGATATTACATCCATGTACTGGTATTAAATTGTTTGAGAAAGAGATTGTTAGGTGTAGACCAAATTAAGTTTTTGTTATGAAATATTCATTGTTTATTATTAACATTTCAAATGCATGTGTTTAATAATATGGTGAAACATAGTTTTCTTGTAAAGGTAATCAAGAAGGTATTTTTGAGCAGGGCTCATGAAGAAAATATACTCTAATTCATGCTAAATGACATTCCATAGTAATATGAAATTAATCCAAAATAGTAATGTCTACAGTTAAAAATGTCTAAAAAATTAGATAAATAAAAGTTATTTTCATGTATGAGTTATGTTGTACACACTCGAGTACCTAATTGTCTTATAGTGATTGAAAGTGCACCAAGAACAAAAAAGACAGATGTATGTTATATTAAGACCATACATTTTCAGTAATTATACAAAAAATTTTTCTGTATATTTGTTTTTACTTCTCATTCAGTTGCTTGTTTGATGTTAGGATGTATTAGCTTCTGAATATCAGAAAATAGTTTAAAATTTTAAATGGAACAAAATTCATATCAATTGTTTTTATGTTTTATGTTTAAAATATAAGGAATTGTAAAGCACAAGAACTTTTTAAACATTGTATTTTTAAAAATTAGGAAGGGATTTTTGAAAGAGAAATAGTACCTGTTACAATTCCTGGAAAGAAAGGCAAATCAGATACAATTATAAAAAAGGATGAAGAATATTCAAAGGTCATCTATGAAAAACTCCCAAAACTTCCCCCAGCATTTGAAAAAAATGGTAAGTGTTCAAAGATGTAGCATAGGACAGAACTATGAGCTGTACATGTATATTTATGTGTGTATTTTTGATTTTCTTTTCTAAGTTATTGACAGTTGTATTACATAACATTTTAGCTTATATAATGCTACAAGTAGTAATGTAGAAATATATGGGACAGGCAGAGTAATTGGCATAAGACCCAGATGTATGGGAACTCAATAGACTTCCTCAAATTAAAAAAGTTCCTTTTTGAAATGAGAAAATAAGAATAAGAAAGAAAATTGTAAAGTATATTTAGCAGTGATGAAAAGTAATAATAACTCAAATCAAGTTCTTACCTCTATGCTAGATATTTATTGCACAAGCTTTCATGTCTTTTCTTGGAACTGTCTTCAGCAAATTTGTATATACAGTCCACAGAAAATAGTTTTAAAGAATACTGTAGTGAATGTGCATGAATATGTTTGCAAAAATAGTAAATTATCTGGAGTTATAACGACAATATACATGGTGTTGTACAGAAATGCGACTGAGAAATATTTATAACCTATTTTAACAATATTGTATACTTACAAAGAAGTCAGTTTTGGGGAGAGGAGATGAAAGCTTACTAAATAAAGATTTAAACTGAAAACAAAAACTGATTTACTTTTTTTTCATCATAAACAGAAGATTTGGTAACTTTTTTTTTAGGATTTAGGAATGGGCCTGATGAAATGTATCAAGCTTTAAAGTTCAATTTTGGTTTGTTTTTGAATGTGTACACTGCTGCAGTGCCCTTTTATAAACCATTAGAAAGGTGTCAAGACCAAAAAATAAGAATAAAGAGAATTTCAAAATTCTAAGAAATTTTTAATCTTTTCATAACCAGTCAGTAAAACTATTAGTATATTGGTCAACATCACGGAGAGAAATTGTTGTACTAAGCTATAACCATGACAACAACAGGCTGGTGTTAATAACTAGAACCAATAACAAGTATTTCCTGAGTGATTCTGTTGATACAAATGTGTATTAAAAAGCTGTGTTCATGTAACAACATTTTTGATGTAACTCAACCTTGTCAACCAGGATTTCAACCTAATTCTAGAGATACCATTCAGCAAGATTGAAGAGTCAAACAATTACAAATACATAATACACTGGGCAAATTTTCTGGTTATATGAGAGAATGCCAAACAAATGACTAGTCACTGAACACGGATTGTGTAAACCTAATCAGTCCCTTCTATAGTAAAGAAGACACAACATATGTGTATTTCTCAGACACATTTTATGGAATATTACCTAAATCTTGATTAAAGCTCACTTCAGTTGGGTTTGTTATTCTCTATGCTAAATAGGACCTGTTTGCTAATCACAATAAAACGTATCAATTGGTTTGGGTTAAAGTAGTTCGAGTCTCAAAATATTAGATCAAGATAATTTACCTTTACAAGCTGTAAAGTTTACACCTGAATGCTTTATTAGTTGAAACACAAATCAAAGAAAAAAAGACTATTGAATGTTGTATATTCATCCTGGCCATGGGGTTAGAGTTGATGAAGGCAACAATGGAAATTTTTTTCAATTTTTGAACTGATGGAAAATTATTACCCTTAATTAAAAAACAAAAAAACTATATGAAATATAGATATTTTACCAGATATCTTAGCTCTCTAATCTAAAGAGACTCGTTATTTTGTTAAAGTAGAAAATTGTATTTTAAGTGAAATAAAGTTCACTGTTTTATCAGTATTAATAGATACTGTTACGTCTCTGGTCGTTTAATTTCCCGTAAAAATTCCTTCCAAAAAACTTCAGCGATACAAGTCATTTCTTAAGTAAAAACTAGTTTATTCTTTCTCAATACAATTTTGCAATACTCTTAATTTCCACAATCAATTTAACTTAAACACTCACTATAATTCACAATGAATGATTCATGCACTTACTTACTACCGCGCTTGACTCAATTGTCTGGTGCACTTATATACAAGAATACCGCACATCTAGCAAACACTCGAGCATTCACGAACCTTCGAGAATATCATGACGTGTTACTAGCGTCACGTGAATTCCGCTGCCGTAACACTGCCCTTATTTAGTATTGTTTGTCCCAAACAATAGTCACTTACATAAAACCAATAGATAATTAACAGTAACTTAATTAAATGTACAGAATTTACAAACACATTTTCAGGCAACTCTTCATAAGGTGGGAATCCTGTTAACAGATCCACTGGCAACCGAAGTTCCTTACCA